TATTATAGACACATGCATTTCCAAACCTTTGGTCTACCTACGCTGTAAAATGTAATATCTCTTCGATTTACACACAGCATCTATTGCACGTCTGTCCCTCCTCCTCTGTTGCTCTCCCTGAGGTTTCTCCCATTTTCCCCTTTAAACTGTGGGGTTTTTCTCTGGAAGTTGTCCTCCACACACTGGCTTTAAAATAAAGCATCTATACATTTGCAGGTGGCACATAACACTACATTAGTCTATTCATCAGTGTAACATTTACTTGCATAGCAAATGTGGTATAATTCCACTTTGAAATATGTATTTATGATTAGTTGAAGTCATTAAACACTGCTGGTACTTTGTGCTAGTAGAACACTAACTAGAAAATGTAATGCATGTCCATTAGTATTTAACAGATGACAAATCAATATTTCACTTTGATATAACCAAAATCTAAATTCGTATAATAAATATAGAACTACAAGCATTTCTCTATTTGCAGCAACAGGTTGTCTTATCCCTTCGTACTTTTTTTATTCTGCTGGCAACAATTATACCCCATTCAAATGTATACGATGGACTCAATTAGGGAAACCAATTCCATTTGAATTAAAACCTATTTTACTTGCTTTGGATAAAGTCATACAAATGCTCTCAAGTACAGGTTAAGGATGTCAGCGGCGTACTGAAGAATGCCGACAGCTGGAAGATACAGAGGAACAAAAAAAGTGTACATCTTTTAAATACAAAACAATAACAAATGGATACTTGGCTTTGAACTCTTTGCTTACATTCTTTTAACAAATAATTTAGAAAATTGTTGCATTGCAAACATTTCCAAGATAAGCAAATGAATCAATCCCCAAAGGTCTGAGCACACTAACGCTAAAATCACATTTAAAAGAAGAGTACAAAATAAACAGGCGTCATTCAAAATAGATTTCCAAAGAAGGTTAAAGACATCGCCTGGAGAACGGAGCGTTACAGAGATCTGTCCCAAATGTCTTAAGTGTTTTTCAGGTCATATTTAAAAAAAGAAAAAAGAATAAAAAAACACTTCTATTGACAGCAGGGTTTTGTTAATGTTTAGAAAGGTCCCTTCACAAAGTTATTCCAGATTTACAGGGGGTTTGCAGGAGCAGGTTGATGCAGAATTGAGCAGTGGTCGAAGCACATTCAAGTGAAACCTTGATCTCTTGCTGTTCCAAAGTCACCACTCTCCTCTAAATTACAAACACAATCATTTCTCAGCCCGGCCTACACTCGTGTGAGTTCAGCTGTTGTGCAGTGGCTCTCCATGTGTCTGCGCCGTTACTCCATGCTGTCGGGGTCTGCCTGCGCCATGTAGGCGTCCAGCTCAGCGTCCAGGTGACCTTTGGTTTTTGACATGTAGGCGTCCAGCTGGTTGTCCAGTTGTTCCCGGGTCACAGACTGCCGGTCTACTCCTCGACCCCGCCCGCGCCCACCTCGACCGGCAAAGCCACCGCGCCCTCGCAGGCCACCGCGGCCTGTAAGCAGACAGACATAAACAATGGATGAACTGCACTGAGTCAACAGTTCTACTCAGTGTCTCTTTAGGAACAGACAGAGGCATCTTATTCCCTCGCATAATTAGAGTGGCGCAGGAATAAGTCGTAAAACCCAGGGATGAGTTAGCATTTTAGCACATTCCGTTTGCTTGTCTTAAATACTTTTTGAGTTGGAAGCCTGATATCTGTAGTTGAAACTAGATAAGAAGATTTTCACATTTTGTTCTACAACATAAAATAGATCAGTGATAACCACACTGGTGAATGTCTGTAGCCTCAATGAGTCATAAAAACAGCAGTTGCTAGCGAGTATTGAATGACCCCTAGATTCCACGTGTCCGTCTGCGGCGCGTTACGACCGCGCCGCGGTGCTCACGGACACTTATCAATGGGTGCTATTCCACCACACGTGGCGCGTTATGGCTCAGAAGCGCCTTGGCGCAGGGCTTCTCTAAAATTAGGATGAATCCTATTTTTGACGCGGCGCAGCCGTAATGTAAGGTCGGGCAGGCAGGAAGTGGAACGGTCAGAGCATATAGCACATATATATACACAAACTAATTTTGCAGACCCTATCCCTCCGTAGTCTTTCAAGTAGGAGGAGAAATGCCAGCGTTCTCCTCCGGTTTACAGGCACTGTGTAAATTATATATATATAGAATAATTTTGATGATGAATGCATTTTTTTACCACTAAAATACAACACATCTTTGATTCATGTCGTTTATAACTGGGATATTACAATTATTATTAACTTTGTCTGTACAAAGTAGCCTGTCCAGGAAATATGCCCAAATCAACTAAAACTGCGAGCCGCCAGGCAAGATGCTCCGCTTCTGAAATGTGCCCGGTAGGGTATGACGCCGGAGGAGGCCGGACCAAAACCGCGGTGCTGCCGTAACGCGCCGCAGACGGACCCGGTGGAATCTATGGGTGAGACTATTGAGCATGATCATGGCGAATATTAGCTGCCTTTATCTTAGCGGTGGTGACATGAAGTCATGCCACTATGACCTGTCCTCTACAGCCTAACGTATACGTTTGCTTTTGTCAGTTGTGTAGTATGTGGAGATTATCCTGCAAAACAAAAAACATGTACGAATTATTGCAATGGTGGAAGCTAGTATTCAGATTCTTTAATTGAGTAAAAGTACAAATACCATAGTGTGGAAATACTTAATTTCAAGTTAAAGTACTGCATTGAGAATGGTACTAGTAAAGTAAAAGTATTTAAGTATGATTAGGAAAATGTACTTCAAGTATTCGTAGTAAAAGTAATCCAACATGTTTTAAAACAAAAGCCGCAAATCTTCACATTTAAGAAGCGGGAACTGTAAAATATATCTTTGTTTCTTAATCTGTTAACCCACTCATGGGTTTAGTTGCTTACATATAGTGTTGGATTGTTTAATCTATAACAAACAATCATATTTTAAAACCCATTCCTAAGTATTGGGTGTTAGTAAAGTAAAAGTTGAGTAAAAGGTACAAAATGGTCTTCCAAAATGAAGTACAGTAAAAATAGAAAGCAGTCAATGAAAATACAAGTACCTCAAATATGTTAAGTAGTTGAGTAAATGTAATTGTTTGTTTTAACCGAGCTTATTTCTGTAACGTTCCAAAGGAAAAATCCCTTTGGCTTTTGGTATAAGGATCCCAAGCAATGCTAACTTCAGGGTCCGACCTCACTCTTTATAGAGTTAACCATTAGCACTCTCACCTCTGGCAACTCCTCCTCGTGCAGCTCCTCGTGCAGCTCCTCGGGACAGAGCTCCTCCTCTGCCTACAGGTCCTCCACGGTTACGGCCTGCTCTGCGCATCGCCAGGCGCCCCGCAGAGCCACGACCTCGCATGGGCCCGCCTGTAGAAGCCACTCTCTTCCCTGTGCAACACAAAGTCACATTACAGCTACACCCAGGTTCCACAGTGAAGACAGTGACCTATTTATTGATGAAAGTGTGATGTTGTGGACACACACCTCTCAGGGACAAGGCACCTCTCATTATTCCTCCTCTTGCTCGTCCTCGAAGGCCTCCCCTGTTCATCCCTCTCATCCCTCCTCTGCTTCCAGGAGCTCCTCCCCGCATCAGAGCCCCCACAGGCCGGCCCAGCCTGGCCTGGATGTTGCTCTTCCCCAGGCGCTGCTTCAGGCTCTGACAAGTTATTCACGGACGCAAGTATGACTTTGTTAAAAATGTAGGACGGCAAATGTGAGGAGTAAAATGGTTGTTATAAGCACTTAACACCACGTTCAAACCCATGAATCATTTTTAACAAGAGTTCCAAAAAGGGCCTTTGACATTTTACAGAACATTCGGTAGCAAAAACAACAACAAAGTGAAATGTAAAAGTTCAGCTTAACAAAGTTTTGGTTTTAGAAAAGTAGCTGAGCTCTTCCCCTCCATGGTTGTCTCACACATCACATATTGTCTGATTAAGTGGTCAAAAACACACACTTTCAAACTCAGGGATTCATTATACAAAGAAGCACGTACAACCTTAGACAGAAGACCACTCACTTTCAATAGGCGCTTTCACACCAAGTACCTTTCCCAGGAATAGTTCCCGGAACTCTTAAGTTCTGGAACTATCTAGTAGATCGCGTTCACACCGGAATAAGTCCCTGATGGAGGATCACGCAAATGAAGCCGCCTACATCACTTCTTCTTCTGCTTTGGGTTTACTGGCAGGCCCCAAACAACTTCGGGTGGGAGTAAATCGCCACCCGAAGTCCCGGGTAAATCGCCAGAAGCGCCGACACCTCCTCATCACTCCACCGCTCCCACGTTTTATTTTGTGTTACCATAAGCTAGTCTCTCTTTGTTGGTGCGCTGGGCTAATGCAACAAATAAAATGGCAGCTTCACAGAACTTTTCGTAGTTTTACAGGGCGTGGTTTGAAATTTGCCCAGCCAATCAGAAATTGGAACCTTTTCCTCCCCAGGAAAGTACAACCTCTCTAGCAGGGACTGAAAAGGGGTGAAAAGGTTCCCGAAAAAAGTTCTAGTTCCAGATCTAGTTGGTGTGAACGCAAAATCCCAGGAACTATCAGAACTATTCCTGGGAAAAGTACTCCGGTGTGAAAGCGTCTTTTGTCATATTGGGAAAAATACTTACTGCTTGGCTGGAAAACCCTTTTCAACACTATAGTGTCTCTATAGGTTAAATGACTAGCTCTTCCTGCACTGTCTGGTTTCACTTCTACATCAACTAGAGCTGTGAGAAGTGCAGCTATGGGGACAACTGTCTTTCCTTCAGGGCAGCCTTCATGGACCTAATTTCCCCAATCATTGTTTGTTTCAAGTGTTAAGTTAAAGCTTATTTAGAAGCAACAATGTCAACAGTGATTCTCTTTTACGCACCTTTAACATGACTGTACTCATGTTGTATACTAGTATTTGGATCTGCTTTTCTTCCCCACAGGGTAGTATGTTTTAACCATTGTACCTATTATTTTTAAAGGATAATGGGTTTGTCTGTCAATGTAGTGGTGGTGTCACAAAAGAAGGTTGAACCAGGCTCAGCCTTGGCTGCATCAAGAATATGGCAAGGCACTGCATTGGCCAATCAGGGAGGAGCACTTTCACCTCGACCAAAGACTAAATGATAACACAGTGTTACAAACAGTGAGCATTGTTTTAGCTTCTGATTTAACACATGTAGCTGTCATTCCAACTGGATTGCCTGCCTACACATTCATCATCTCACTATAGCAACATGTAAGTCAAGCACTGTCTGGTGAATAAATCTCTTTTCAGTCACCAATAAGCATACAAAACATTAAAGTAAAACAGAGACTAAACAATTTTATTTTCATAGATTATGAGATTTGCCTGTTGGCAAACAAGTGCCTGCTTTTAAACCCAGGACACCACGGTTCTGCCAAGGGTACTTTTAACTGTCAGAGTTTATTTGTGGTACATTTGAACTCCATTCGACTCAACATTTAATTAGCAAAGAAAGCAAAGCACCTAAAACCTTATCTGACAAAGTTCCATTAACTGTTGAGGGAGAATCGTCACTCACAAACCCAATATTGTTTAAACTAGCATGCTATTGTCAATAGCATTTAACCCGATTATAAGAAGTCGAACCCCTTAAAAACTTGGTCAGTGATGAAAGGATCCATTTTTGTTGCGTTCAAGAAAATTCACTGTAAAGGTTAGACTAAACCAGTGGTTCTCAAAGTGGGGGGTCGAGAGACCAGGAATAAAAATGGTTATTAAAAAAAAAAAGATAAAAAAGAAAAAAAAGAAAATCATAATTTGAAAAAATATTGATTCGAAAATAATATGATGAAGTACAGTACTATTACGTCTCTGTTTCATTAAAGCTCGGCTCTGTGTGTGTGGAACGAGCCATTTTTGCGCACGCACCGGTACTGGAGATCGTTGTTGTTAGCTTCTGGTGCTAGCGAGCTACGCTAACGGATATAAGGAGTTTTTTCAACAACAAAGTGGAGGAGAGTCCCCTCCTATCAGACTGAGAGGCTCAGGGAACTAAAGGACACTCAGTGGGTCACCATTAATGTAAACAATTATTTCCGAGGCACACGTTTATATGATCATTATAGTTATAAAAAAATAAGAGAATAAATGAAAAACAGGTATGAAATACTATATGACAGTAAAAGAATAAAGTTTAAAAGGGTGATTTGTAAAATATCCATAAAGAAAAAGTAAATCTGTTTACAATTGTTTCATATGGGTGTTGAGAGATGTATCCATAGATCTCTTCATTTTGCTCTCAAAGTGCACCAGAATAATGCTTTAAACTTCAATATTTCTTTAGAAATCTGCCCGGGGGAGCTTGCCCCCGGACCCCCCTATCTGAGGTCCACACACCACCTATAAAAATAGCACTTTACCCTTGCTTACACCTATATGCGGTGAGCTGATTATGTGGTGGTGCGGTGCCCCCACAAATAGAATCAAAATCTGTGGGAAACACTGCTGTTACAGTTCTATTAACTTTTATATTATAGGCGTCAGTGCCGGTATACCTTCAATTTACAAAGTGGCTCAACATGGTTCCAACCAAAGGTCTAGTCGGACCTTTGCCCTCACCTGCTTGTGATTGAGAGCAGCTTGCACTGAGGGCCGGTTCTCCATCTGCTGGGCCAGCCGGCGGTTGCGGGCACTGGCCAAATGTTGCTGTTGCATGGTGGCTCGAATGCTAACAGCAGCAGGCTGCTTGTTCTTCAGCATGTTAGTGAAGCTTTAAAGGCGGGAGGGGAAAAAGAGGGAGGAAGTAAAAGAAGGGGACAGGGGATATAGAGAGGAGGAAGCAGGTTCCACATCAAGTCATGTCTCACATTATGGTGAAGCCACACAGCCTGTGATGGCTGTTTTATATGCAAGACTTATGTTCCACTTGTTGGCTCTCAATTTCTTTTTCATTCATGAACATCCAGAACGTTTTAGCATTTGTTTTCAAACAAGCACAAGATATGCAAACTTAGATGAAGAAAAACTCACAGTGCAAAGAGACTGGAGAACAGTAGCAGAGAGAAGGTACCAGAAGAAGAATGCGTTTTGCCACTTACAGGCCTCCAGCTGCCCAGCTGGGGGGGTCATCGTGCTGCAGCAGGAGAGGCCTCGGACATGAGGAGTGCCTGGCCACCCAGCCACTTACAGCATGGACCGTGACGTGTGGTACAAACCACTGAGAGACTCAGGAGGGAAGGGGACATAGGAGCTCTTGTCACGTCCAAGCTAGGACCGAGTACCAGGTCTTTGATAGACTTAGTGGAGAGGAGAAAGAATGAGAGAAGAGGGGAAGAAAGGAGCATGTGCTTCACTTCCACTGGTTTGAGAGAGGCAGAAAGGTGGGGCCCCATCTTCCTCGTTTAGCTCAAGCCTTCCTCCCCCCTTTATAGGGGTGCCGTATACTTGACGCATACTGTGCTGTTTAAGGTAACAGGAGGCATGAGTGCCAGGGCATTTGTAGGACAGCGGCCTGGTCCTGCATAGGATAACCTAGGCTTACCCAGTATGACCTTTACCCTCTCCCCTTGTCTAGAGGTGTGCACTGCTTACTAAAGATATTAGGCCTGGGCCAGCACTGTGTGCTCCTTAACTAGTATAAGTTAATATCACATCTGCCCCAAGAAATATTGACAGGACCAACATGGTTGAGTGAGCAGTGCACACACAGGGGACAGTTAGAATAGCCTCCATGTCGGGTCCGGTCCCCGACAGTAGCCTTCCGTAGGGAGCACTAGAACCTTCACAAGCCAAGGCTGGCCCTTGCATCTGGTGTGTAACTGCTGACAGGGTGCGTGGCGCCTCACCGCTCATTCAGGGACACCTTGGTGGTGCTTTTCAGGACCACTTTTTGGGAGGAGGGTGCACTCATTTTGACTTCGCTTGCAGGCTCCTGCAAACAGAAAGACAGAAATAAAAAAAGTTCTACTGGCAGTCCAAATGTACACTGCAATAACACATCATAAAAGAACATTAAATTGCACCACAAGCTGTAGCTTACTAACTGTTATGAAGTGCTCTCTGGAGATCGTCATGATCATGACCCTACAATCCGATAGAGCAAGTGTCTTTGATGTGTCACGAGAAAATACCAGGGGCCTCATTAATAAAACTTTGAGAAGGATTCATGTGACAAGATGGCGTGCGGACAAAATACAGGAGGTGCTTACGCAGAACAATATTCTGATTTCTGCTGATGTCCTGCGCCGGTTTCCATATATATACACAGTGGGGCAAAAAAGTATTTAGTCAGCCACCAATTGTGCAAGTTCTCCCAATTAAAAAGATGAGAGGCCTGTAACTTTCATCCTAGGTATACCTCAACTATGAGAGACAAAATGAAAAAACAAACAAAAAAAAAAACAACTGAAAATCACATTGTCTGATTTTTAAAAGAATTTATTTGCAAATTATGGGGGAAAATAAGTATTTGGTCAATAACAAAAGCCACGTTCCATCTTCAATGCCCTTGCTGGTGGAAGGAGGTTGTCACTCAAAATCTCACGATACATGGCCCCATTCATTCTTTCCTTTACACCAGTGACCACCAATTGGCAGCCCGCGGGCCACATCCGGCCCGCCAGACATTCTCATCCGGCCCGCACGACGGGGGTGACTGTGGCGTTGGCGGAGTGGTTAGTGCATTCGCCCCCACCCATTTTTTACAACATCTCGTGAGTAAGGTGCTGTACCGGAGTCCAACAGAGAGGCAGCAGCTGCGGGACAGTAGACTGCGTACTGCGAAACCTTCCCTGCCTTGAAGAAGAAGTGATCCTTCGTTGTGAAGAGTCTGCTTTGTGCGCTTCGCACCACCACAGCAGTAGCCCAGCTGCGATAGTCAAACAGAGAGGCAGGAGCTAAGGCGGGTCAGTAGCCTAGAAGCAGGGTTGGGTTGTAACGGAATGCATGTAACGGCGTTACGTAATCAGAATACAAAAATCTAGTAGGCTAACTGTATTCAGCTGGCGTTGCATTTGAAAAACGAGTAATCTGATTACAGTTACTTTCGTAAAGTTGAAGTGAATACATTTTGGAATACTTATTGGAATTATTGGTGGAAAAGTTTCCTCACAATATGTAATATTCATTACCGGCAGAACTGCGCTGCAGCATGTCTGTGAGCAAGAGAGAGATGCAGCGTGTCTGTGAGGCCCCGCCCCCGCACGCAGATGAGAGAGAGAGATCTCTTTTAAAATATATTGAAAGTTAGAAACGGAAATGGATAGATAAAATGTACAAGATAACGTTTATGTAGCATTTCTTTATTTTCGAAATGATGACATCTCATAACGGGATAAAATCAAAGTGAATGGCCTGCTGCTGCTGAATGCATGGGGCAAGTGACTGGAAAAAGTTTTAAAAGTTATTACATCGTTTCAGATAATAAATAATAATGATCATTCATTCTATTTAGGGGCGCCTTTCAAAGCACCCAAGGACACCTTAC